AGAGGAGCTTCCAGTGTCAGGCTTCATTTACACCAGTGTACCTACATGCTACAGGACTTGTGCTACATAAGGGATTTGCGTCCGCTCCCGCTGAAGTCTTTGGGGGAACACTCCTATTTACTCCAGTGGGGGCAGACCTGGATTCAAGATTCTGCATGACAGCTAGCCACCTGATACACTTGGACTGAAGGCATGAAGAGGTTGCAGGATCCAACTGCCAATATCCTGTCTTTTGTGGATTTACAGAAAATGATTTAATGGGAGTTCGTGGGAGTTTAAAAATAGCCTTTAATGCAGGGCAATACTGAATGTTCTTTAATTACAGCTTCGTCCTGGGAGAGGTGTTTTTTTTTTATGAGGAAGCATCTCTTCATTTAAATGCAAATTTGACATTTGAAGTCCCAGTGAGAATGGGGTAGTATCTCTTAAAGGGCTGGTTGTGGCCTGCTTGGTTACAGCTGTTATCATTAACTCTTTCACTGTCAGCACCTCTGCTGTGCCAGTGCAGTCCTGTCACGCAGAATGGCAGCCCCAGCTCCACCACCCAGGGCTGAAGCCAAAACCTGAGCAACGTAGCTTTGCAGGATATTCATTGTATAAAAATTAATATACAATTGTTGCAGGCTTTAAAAAATTAGTAATAAACATATAAATTAACATACTAAAATAAATTAAAGAGTGTAACTAATACTAAATTATTGCCACTCAAAATGTTGTGTTAAATGTTTAGGGTAAATATGCATGGGCAACAAAGTTTACCCCATCTGCTCCTGGGTCACCTGTTTCTTCTCTAAGGCTGTGTCTACACTGGCCCCTATTCCGTAATAGGGATGCAAATGTAGCACTTTGGAAGAGGCAGTCTAGTCAGCGCCAGTCTAGTCAGTAGGAATAAGAGATCCTCCAGAAAAGGCTTTATTTTCCGGAGAATCACGTCTAGACTGATGCTTTTCTCCAGCTTATCTCCAAGCCGGAAAAAAAGCGGCAGCCATGTTAATGCAAATACCGCGGGGGCTCCTGCATGAAGCTGGCTGAAATGGAACCCAGGCAACATGGGGGTGAGGCCAATGGGTAGAGGAAAGCACTTGAAAGAAATTGCAGCCCCTGTGGTGGGTGGTACACACCCACTGTTGGCCAATACAGTTTGTTGTAGCTACTCACTGAGGCTAAACTAGCATAGCAGCATCTGCAAGTGATGCTTTCTACCATCTACATTGGTTAGGAGGCTCCGCCCCATCCTGGCAGGCAATGACCTGGCTTCAGTTACTCACCTCTCCATCATTGCTTGTGCAGCAGAGCTGGGCAGTGGAGTTTTATAGCATGGTGTGTGTGGGCAGTTTAGAAAGAAAAAGGCTGAGAACCCCTGTTGTATGGGGTCACCACTGGGGGCAGCATGTGGTTTCAGTTGAAACCCCAAGGCTGTTCGACTTTCTTCATTATGGGATACTCTCTTTTTGGCAAGACAGAGAGCTGGGGTCCAAGTTCATCTTGTGTTTTGTTTGGTTCACTGATCCTTACTTAAAAACTGGCAATACTGAATGTTCTTTAATTACAGCTTCGTCCTGGGAGAGGTGTTTTTTTTTTATGAGGAAGCATCTCTTCATTTAAATGCAAATTTGACATTTGAAGTCCCAGTGAGAAGGGGGTAGTATCTCTTAAAGGGCTGGTTGTGGCCTGCTTGGTTCCAGCTGTTATCATTAACTCTTTCACTGTCAGCACCTCTGCTGTGCCAGTGCAGATGGGTTGGATCCAATCTCCATGCACTGGGGAGAAAGGGAATCAAAGGCTGAGAAGAAGACAGTGAAAAGGGATGTGGAGAACAGAGGGAAAGGGTGCACAAAAAAGGCTGGAGTAAAGAGACACCAGGAAACATATAGGAGACGAGAGAAACTGCAGCAAGGGAAGGATATAGGAAAGAGATCCTTGTGTTAGCCAGAGGAGTGGGGTAGGGTGTGGAAATAGACCTCTGGTGAGGGGAGGGATGGAACTGAGAGTTGCTTCTGAGAGGAAAGGGAAGTTGTACAGGCAGGGACTAGGGAGTGAAACAGAGATAAAATGGGGCAGAAAGAGAAACAAAGGGCAGAAAGCGTGGCCATGATGGCCCAGTGCTTGGACAATTTCAGCTCCTGCATGAAGCTGGCTGAAATGGAACCCAGGCAACATGAGGGTGAGGCCAATGGGTAGAGGACTTGAAAGAGATTGCAGCCCCTGTGGTGGGCGGTACACACCCACTGTTGGCCAATACGGTTTGTTGTAGCTACTCACTGAGGCTAAACTAGCATAGCAGCATCTGCAAGTGATGCTTTCTACCATCTACATTGGTTAGGAGGCTCCGCCCCATCCTGGCAGGCAATGACCTGGCTTCAGTTACTCACCTCTCCATCATTGCTCGTGCAGTAATCCTGGGTATGAAACCATCAGTGTTTGGGGAAGCTCCAGGTAGAACAGAACCCCGCAAGGTATCTCCTTTGCAACACGGGCTGCTGCAAAAGCATCTGGTGTCTCCTAGGATAGCGGGTTATTCTCACGGTTTCAGTTCTCACCTTCAAGGCGTACAGGGGCCTGGGTCCAACATATCTACAAGAGCCTGAAGCTCCGGGGTGAAGAATGTGGTCCCCACCTCCGCTCCTCTTGCTCAGCTGGACTCTCTATCCTCAGGGTAAAGGTTACACGTGTAGAAGGCAGAGCTTTCATAGGGGCTGGGCCCAGACGGTGGTACAAACTGCACAGGACCATCAAAACCCAGCATTCCTGGTGCAGGGCCACCTCCGACTTCTTTCTCCAGTGGACACATATTACAGTGTGCACAGCTAAAAAAATTAATTAGGAAATAAAATGCCCAAAACCCCTACCTAAAGAAAATGCTCCATTGCACGTACCAATCTCCCCCAGAGAGACCATGAGCCACTTGTGTCAGATGTCAGTCGTGCCTCTTAATGCAGTGTTGGCAGGCACTTGGCCACAATGGAGATGAAGGCGGTGGATATAATGGAGGTCCTAAAGATGAGTGCATTTGCTCACTGCCTAATGGTGAATACAACAATAAAGTGCTGAACAAATAACACTTTGCTTCCCACAAGCTGCAACGTGTCCTTGATCTTCTCTCATTGACGTCAGTGGGAGATTGACGTGGATTGAAGAGAGTGTGTGGTCTGTGGCCGCATCTAATACACAACATTTAAAAGTGGAATTCGGTTCTTTGCACAGAAAGTGTGTGATCATCTCTCCTGATCTAAAT